CCCCAAAACCCCAAAACCCCAAAACCCCAAAACCCCAGGTTTAAAAAACGGAATTGAACAATTTATTAGAATGGAGTTCATGAGTAACTAGCTTGATTTCTTCTCCTTCTTTCTTGTCCAGTTGGCTTTCTAAAGATAATAAAAGCAATCTACCTCATATTCGCTACAAACTTGTGATGCTCTAGACTTGGAAGCTTTTGTGGTTTTCGGATTTGCTTCTGAGAAGATGCTCTTTCGACTATAAATTAGAGAGATACATCAATACAGATTCTATTATCGACCATCTCATTGGCAGTTCCTTTGGTACCCCGACACTCAGAATAGGTCATATTTTTGTCTTCTCTGAAGCTAACAGAATGAATATTTCTTAATTTATATAAAGACTTTCTTTGTGACTCATTCATATAAGCGCTTCCATCATTAGACTTTAAATGTCTCTTTTTGGCTAAAAGTCAGAAATGTTCATACAATTTTGGAAATATTTCTGCTTCATTTCTGTTGTGTCCTTCTCAGAGGTTCCTAACTGTACGACTTTAGATCTAGAAGATAAGACTGGACAGCCTACTTTGAGAATTGAGGAGTGTACTCTTTGAGAATTTGATAAGTATCCTGTCCTTCATACATTCAGTTATACGGGTGGTTCTGCATGCTATTCCTTGATGAGTTCGTCTGAGTTGAAAAGATTGTGTTAATCAATCTTCTTTGTATCTTCTTAGGCTGAGCATTAGATTTTGCTATCAATATGGGAGACTTTGAAGTGTCCTTCAAACTTCCTTCCAGATTAAGCAACTTACTGTTTCTCTTTATCTTCTCAAATAGGGAATCTTGCACTTTCTTTGAAGAGGACGTGCTTTCAGAATCTGTTGGTTCAAAGTTTAGTTTTGAGAATTTTTTCTCATTACTATTTCATCAATGTTTGATATTAGCAAACTTCTTTGCTTTTATCTTACTATTGAAGCTCTTTTTGAGAAATTCAGCTAAGTTCCTAAATTAGTTAGATGGTAGATGCTTACTTTTTGTTTGTCCCAGGTGTTCCTCGGGTGATATTGTTCTGAAGCATATCCCTTAACTTCTCTCCAGAGATAACGATATTATCGTTTCATCCAAAAGGTTTGAATCTTTCCGTGATCTTTCTCTTTACTGCAGTGAGATCATGCATCTCCATTTCTTTAAGATATCTCTTGTAGAAATCTTCATCTAAAATATTGCTGATGGTTTCAATTTGTTTCTCAATGACTAAAGATCATAAGCAAGTTCTTACCCTTCATCTTTATGTAAAGAGAGCTCCTTCGGTCTTGTACAGAGGATGATCTGTTAGATAGGGTTCCATTCTCAAGGGACTCTTCCTTTGTTTTCTGCAGTTTCTAAACTTATCAAATAGTATCCCGTACATTAGCTACTTCTCTTTTAGTTTTGATTAAGTCATTCATCTGTAACTTTTTAGACATATCTGATATTTTTCTCATAGAGATTTTGAATTCTGAGAGACTCATGTCCTTCACTCCCTTTCTGGAGGTGGCATGGTTGAAAACCTGGATAACTTTTGTGTTCGGGAGGGAGCAGTCGAAGTCACAGAGAAATTTGCTAAATTTTCCTATGCTGAACCTTCAATTTTTCTTCTGGGTCTCGTCGAAAGTATGATTTACGCTCATTTGAGACTCTTCCTTTTTGTAGTAATTGTAGACATATTCCAAGCCACGCTCAAGGATGGCCAAGGTAACTTCGTCTTTATCAGCAACTTTAGGCACATCTTTATCCTCACTAGTGAGATCCTGATAAAGATTCTGGCTGAAAGTGGCCTTTTTAGGATGATATAGAGCAATCTTAACTGCAGGTTTTTGACCTTTAGAGGGTGAGCCGAAATGATTTTCAAAGACGCGTTTAGACTTCTTGCTTCCTTCATTACTCATGTGCAATCTGTGGTGTCCCTTGACATTAATATTCCCTCTTATTGGGTTGATGAGGTCATAATCTTGAGGAGTGTAGGCTCCTGCAAAGTTATCACTAAGCTTCTTCTTTTTATTAAAGCTCTCATAAGAGCCTGATTTCACATGATGAAGATTTCCAGTTTTTGGAGTAATATCACCTATCTTCAGAGGATCTCTTTTATTCCCAAGGTCTTCAAAGGAAAAATTCCTTGGAACTTGTCTCTTAACAGAATTAAAGTAAGGAGTTCATAAAGATTGGTTATTATAATCGAGGTCTTGGATGGTAAATGTTCCTGCCCAAGCAGATAAAAATTTTGTAAATAGCCGGTAAAGTTTGTCACATTTGATTAGCACATCACATTTGAAGACATCAATCCCTGGGACTCCTATAGAGTTTGGGTCATCAGAGGATTTTTCCATCTCGTATTTGATGTAATCCTCTATGTACTTCTTACAGCCTTCTAAGATGATGGATTTTAGGTCTTTCTGAGTGGAAGGAGTGTTATTCTTGACTAAACTATAAACCATCTGAAATTTACCAATTTTGGTATTCTGGGATCTTTCAAACTCAATTTTGATCACAGAAGGCAGTTTGGAAAGAAACTCGCCTATCTTCTTCACAGGAATGCAGATTTCTAAAATATTATGGGAGGAAACTAACTTTTAACAGAAAGTGGGAATATATACAACTCTAGGCAGATATTTTCGATTTCTATACCATTAGGACTCCAACTGTACCCTGCTTATACTTCCCATACTTGTTCTGTAGAAGGAGCTCAGCATCCTTCTCTAGTGACTTCTCATCAGTTTTGATTGTCTAAAAGAGATCAGACCCAAAAATCCGCATTAATATTAGTCAGGTTTTATAGGGTTTGATATTAGCATTTTGCATGGTTAAGAACCAAAATCAGAGATTAATTCCAAGTAAATTTCAATAATTTATCATCTAATCTGGCTAATATTCTTTTTTAAAACTCCTCTTATGCTAACGAGAGCGATGGGCACCACTACAAAGAGATGATACCGTTTATAGTATCTATTTTCGACGAATTTATTTTCATTAAATTACTTTGGTGTGGGATTTCATCAAAATTATTTATAGCTTCAATAACAAAAAACTTATATGGGGTTTTGGGGTTTTGGGGTTTTGGGGTTTTGGGG